CCATCAGCAGACAATAGAGGACAGTTCTTGCTAGCAGGCTGCTCTCAGTGTTCTCTTCATTAACTATAGGAAAAATAAAAGCTCCTTCCTTAATTCTTTGCGAGCTGAATCATGCACTGCGCCAACATGCCAACGTTCTTTGGATGTTTGGTTTATACTGGCATATTATATGTGGTTTTATTTAGAGCTCTCTTGGAAACCTATAGTATTATAAGAGAGAGAAGTCTAGAGAGTTGATGACATGCTCAGAATGTAACCGTGGAGTAGGTATTTTAATAAATTATATAGAAGAGGAATATATTAAAAACAATCTGAATCACTCCAGTTATGCTGATTTATGACAGAATCACTACATTTATCTTAGAAGATACAGGCATCTTTTCCTCATCTAATGGAACAGGTCTCATTAATTCAAAGGACTATTAGTTTGGAGTTAACTGGCCTCCACTGGTAAAAGCTAACTAGTATTTCAGCATTAAGCACGATCCCACATCGTCATCAGTCAACTCTCTAAACAGAAGGACTTAAAATACACATTCCTTCTGGCTAAGTGACTCTACAGACAGCACTATGTTTTAGTCAATATTCCTCAAGCAGCACATCTAGATATATCGGTTATTTTAAGTAGCTCATCAAAAAGGATGAGCAAAACTTCCTTTTAAAGACTGCACATGGTTCTCATTTGAGTAACAATCCTTATTTTCCTGCCTAACTTTTCTCTTGCATCACGTGAAATTACACTCGGTTACTGCAAAAATTAAGTTGTGAGAGGCCAGTTCATTCTGAAACATAAAAGAGAAATAAAACTGCTCAATTCATTCTGTAGTCACTTAATATTGATCTGAAGTCACTTCATCTGCAGTCAAGAGCAATGAACACTGTATGTAAGTTAGACGATTATTCAATAACTGACACACTTCTCTGTGAGTCGGAACTCAACCACCATCATGGCTTGAGGCTCTTTTCAGACAGCTTTCTTCTACTCAAGCAGTGTCCGTATTTATCAATTATAATCCAAGAATGAACTTGGTAAGAGCCATCATGTGCAGAACCCGTACAGCTCATTTCATAATGACAGTTAGAAGCTGATAAACGCAAACAGCCAATTTCTATGCTTTTTAAGAATAAAGTGTTATATTCCAAATCTGATCGTAAGCAAGGAAATAAACTTTCAACTTTGTTATCCATTTCTAAGGAAACCAGAAATACAAGATTTGACGGTGAAATAAATACAGCTGTAGACAGATACAAAGCAATGCAGTCATTTTCAGACAATGATGACAAGTTTCCTTGAAGGAAATAGGTGCTTCCTTTAATTCTTGGGACATCTGGAACATTCACATCCAGTGTTCCAGTTTCTTGCTCTCTCTGTAGCTCAGATGGCAATGAGGTACCTAATTCCCATCAACTTTCAGAGATTTAGGCACCCTCCTCATTTTCGGAAGACTTCTTTCAAGTTATCTCCAGCTATGACAAACTCAGGACAAAAGATGGAAGAGTGTCCATTTGCTCCTTTACTGCCAGCTGCAGTTTGTCTTTGAATAAATTAAGATTTTCATTCCTCTTTTTCAGAAATCCCTTTTGTAAAGTAAAACACCCCACTACGATATTTAATTATTTTTAAAATGTTCTGATCTTGCACTGGAGGTACATTAAAAATAGATGCCTATTTCTGAACAACATTCGGAAATAACTGGGAAAAAGACTCTGTTGGATTAACTTCATATGATCAATACCAAATAAAAACCTGCCCTGGTCTTGCTGAGGGTGTTCAGCTCTGTGCAATTCTCATAAAGTTTTATTTTTTTTTAAATGGGAAATGCTCCGAGATTAAGCAATAATTACATTTTTTGACCAAATGCCAGAACCATAGGTGTATAGGAAACAGACATCAGTAATTACAGTTTGTACTTCAGCTATTTCAAAACCCCTTGCTTCAATGAACAAGTATTAACTGGACAGACACTCCTTCACAAATTAGAGGTTGCAAAGGCTTATTACACACCATATTTATCTTTGAAACTTGTCCAGCAGAATTAAACTGAAAAATAATGATACAGATTATGGTTGCAGGCAAAAAAACTATTAAAACTAACAACTATATATATGTTTTTATCTGTCAAACTGTCCCTGCAGCCACTCTTTGGTTTAGGAGCTTAGGAATGTGGTATTTAGAGATATTAATTATTTTATTAACATGCTGTTGTCAAATTTTAGGCTGTATTTTCTCATAGGAGTTGATAAAGAATTTCTTAATTGTTCAGGCCTTTGAACACAATAGAGTTGTAAGAACATGACTGTGGACAAGTGAGAAACTTACAATGAAGAACATCTGACACTGCTGAGAGAAAGTGCGGGGAGTCATTAAGTTGGCATTGACCAAATGTGCTGTAAAACTCAAACTACCTCACAGTATTATGGCATCTGCAATAGTAAGTTAGTTCAGAAGCCTTGCTGGCAAAGTTGGACAGCTAATACAGCTCTGATCAGGTCAGGTAGCTCACAATAAAATTGCACTTGTGAAGCTACAAGCTTTTCCCTTTAAAGGATGCAAGCCACTAGAGGATATCAAGACTGGAGTTTGAAGAACAACAAAATTAGTGGGTAAGGAATTGGTGCGTAGATTTAGGTTTCCCTGAGGCTTCTGATATAGGAAGAAGTATAGACAAGTCTCCTTATCTACTGCCCATCCCAAGATATCATCAACTGATGTAAGCAATATTTGGCTTTGTCAACACAACATGCTTGCACAGAAATTAATAATTTAAGTACATACCTATGGATATATAATTTCAGTCAGGCTGGGAGATAGCGCCAAAGCTTTTCATTTACTGAAAGAATCTCCAATTTCGTTCAGTAGATTATATAGTTAAGCTGATTAGAAGGGTTTCAGTTAACTGAAACAAGCATTTGGACTGCTTTAACAGCTCAAAACCAGGAAAAGTTAGATCTCAGATGGAAGTTTTACTTGGTCAAAATTCACAGCACAGAGCAACAGTACTCTGCAAAAAGAAGTCAGGAATGTAAAACGTCTTAGATGAGTAATTTAGAGCATTTATAAAAGGTATAATTATTTGTTCATTTATTATGCATTTAGATTATCTCTATACAGCTGCATTAGGCTTTTATGTTTTCCCTAGTAATCAGCTTTCTTTTGAACACAGTATATCTGGGAATTAAGTAACATTCTAAGAGAGCAGTTTAGGTATACCAAAACGCTTGGAATGCAATCATTCTCCATTAATCACCTAAGTAATTCAAAGCAAATGTTTTGCATACTTCCTAATAATTACATTATTAATAGTCTAACATAAAACTAATTAGTTAACTGAAAGTGAAAACCATTACATAAGGGTTTGCAATGCTGTGACAAATACAAAGTGTTGAATTCCCAGACAGTGGGAGTTTTCTGTGGATTTGGATTTCTTTCGTGTTTTCAAATGAAACAGTGCTGATCCTTATGATTAGATAAGCATCTTTATTTGAACAATAAATGTTAAATGTCACTATTCAAAATTCTTATTATGAGCAGATGCATAGTGTACTTAATCTACACTGCTTTCATGTGTATAAATAACGGATGTTCAAATGCTGATAATTTCAATGAAAAAGTATTAGCATCATTCTCCTTCTCAGTATACAAACAGCAGAAAGGTTCACTGTATCTAAGACTCATCTACAGATGCTTAAAAATAGTATAAAACTGTGGAAACTTGCACCCTGTGAGTCTGGGACAAGAACATTTTGCACAAACCTACACCATGACTGAAAAATTCTAGATGAACATTCAAGGTGTCATCTACTTTGGTTATAACAGTAACCATGTGCAACCTACCTTTGCAAACGCCAGGATACCATTTGCTTCTATCCACAGAAGAGTTTCTACAGCTGATACATTTGGAAACCATAGTGTGAGATTCATGATGTTATATTGCAGAAACCTGTTTAGTCTCTGATTTACAGTCCTGGCGATTGCATGCAACTCCATCATCACAACAAATTACAACTAACTGCAGATTACCATATTGCAAACATCTTCCTGAAAGAAATATGATGTCCTGCCTAAAAAAAGAGTTAAACCTAGAAAGCCCACCAAACATCCTGAAGGCTAATGAACAAAAATGCACTATTCCATGTCAGACTGCGAATCTAAACTCTTCAAATCAGTGCCATAAAACTTCAGATTACTATTTATTGGCAAGTTGTTTTAGCCTCAAGTACTTACACAGTAAATCACCATTACACTAATACCATACCTTTGGCCTGAAACATATTAATCTTGGTTAAAAATAAGTGACGTTTATTTTACCAATTCAATTCAGGCATTGCAGTGAATGCACACACATGCAAAAGCTCCAGGGAGAGAACTTGCTTGTTTCAAATGGGTCCTTTTCACTGAGAACAGTTTTGAGAAAACACAGTCATGCGTTCTTGTTATAATTCTTTTAAGCATTCAAATCCTAATTTATCTGTGAAAACATTTGACTTGAAGTAAACTCCTTGTTTATTGGGTGCAGCTTACTGTAAAACATAACAGATCCAGACATTTTTCAAGATAAGTATTTACATTCTTGATCTCCTCAAAGACTCAATGACTTTAAAAACTTGAGTTCTTCAGAAGGGAGAAAAAAAAAAATAAAAAAAATCAAAGGAATTTTGAAGCATTCAGAAGAACGTGGCACCTGGACATGATGAATAGCATCAGACTCTCCTAGTAGAGGGAAAATGGACTTTTTGGGCCACCTTTACATTTACTAAGCCCAAGAATACATAAATAATAATAGCTTTAAACAAGTAGAGTATTTTTGGTTCTGTTTCTTCTTTGTCCCCTCTTATTCAGCCCACACACCACGCAAAACTCTCGAGCTGACAAAAAATAAAGTACTTATTTAAATACAGGACAGTAGAGAAAAAAAAAAAAAAAAAAAAAAAAAAGGTAAAACTTATCTCTTTCCTTGTACCCACAAAAGGACATATAACAATACAGCACAGAGAACACATCTGGAACGAGTATTTTATTCCATCTTTAGTCAACCCTCTACCAGACTTCAAATGCATTCTGCAATGCATTACACTAATATTTACATTTTGGAGAAACACAGTGTCTTTAACACAGTACTGATTTTTAGAAAGCATTTTTGCTACACTGGAAGAACGACAAACCAACCTAGTGTAATCTCACAGGATTAGGAGGAAACAAGGATTTGCTGTGTTGCTTTTTTTCCGTTTGTTTTAGCTGATTTTCTTCACGTTTCAAGCTTTCTTTGAATGATTTTATGTGTGCTTATGTGTGTTTTTAGTCACCCACAAAACTTCAAGTAACAGTGGGAATTTGACTCCCCAGGAAAACAGGATGGACTACATGTATCCCATGTTGCTTTTTGTTTCCCATCTTTTCTTAGCTTCAAACCTGAAAAAGAGTACAGTTTCACATGAGGACCCATGAACATACATACTTCAGATATTTAACTCTATTATTTCTTAGCAGTAACAATAAAAATCAAAACTTATTTTTACTACTGCAATGAAGATGAAGGCAATTTTTACTATATGACAAACATATTAATCCTGGTAACGTGTCCTTAGTCTCATAGACTGCTCAGGAAAAAAAACTAACAAAAACAGAAGGTTAAACTAAATTAAACTAAACAAATAAGATCAACACAAGCTTATTTCAGCCAAGGAAACAGAAAGGAAAATACTGAACTGATATTCTGTTGCATATACTGAGTGCCATTGAAATGACAAACGTTTAATTCCATTCTCAAATGACTTACCCCCAAGCAAGCTTCTTTTTCTTTCGAGCTTCTTGGACAGCCTCTGCTTCTTGTTTGGCTTTTACAAAGTTGCGGCAAGCAGCAGCTTTGGCAATTTTCACACCAAGCTAAGACATAAAAGGGAACAAAGAAAAACTGAATAGAAGCAAATGGCTCATGTGAAATGTAAGCCTCACAAATTACGTGGTGTGGTATTGTTTCCCAAAAGTCAGTAAATACTAAAATATCTTTCCAATATTAAGCTGATGCTATACTGTAAGATTGGATGGGAAAGAACGTCTCTTGAGAAACATACAAAGTAGTGGGATCCCGTAGCAAGCAACCCTTCCACTCAACTCCTTCATTTTGAAGGATAAAAGCAAAGGGCAATAGCTGTGCCTCTCCCACTATACCACTATACCCTTTTTTATGGTTTCTGTTTTTTTTTTTTGTTTTGTTTTGTTTTTTTTTTAAATAAATACAGATAGACATACACTCCCTCCCTCTCTCTTTCAATTATTACAGCCACCCTATAACCTCAACTATACTGAAACACTGACAGGTCCCACTGATAGCAAGAATTTCCTGCATGAAACTCTTTGTTTGGATGAACTGCTACTACAACTGCTTCTCCAGTAGTATCTGTAGTCATGTTTTAACCAGTCTGTTCGGAAAGTAAATGAAGCAGTGTCCTTAGAATGCACCTGGCATTCAGTGGTGCTATCATATGCATGCCTTTCAAAATAAGATCTTACTGGCTGTGGGTGAATACTACTTTACCTTCACAATTCTCAATAAGTGAATAAGTTCAAGTTCACATTGCTGCATATCAAGAGGGCAGAAAAAGAACAGAGAAAAGGAGAAAAGGTTGAAGAAGGTACCATGAACTATGACCGTTTCTGTGCTTATAAGCATTCAGAATTCGTTCACTGTTGTTGCATTTTGTGACTGTGCTGTCATGACTTGACATTATTTGTAACTGAACTATGAAAGAGTTTGGTGTCAGAAGCTTTTCCCCAATAAAAACAAGCAGTTTAGCCTGAACTGCTACAAGCTGTGATGTGGACAAACAGGCTTTTTTCTATCCAAAAACCTACCAATAAGATGACATGACATTCTGCATTCCCCCAAATAGTCACAGGACCACATTAAAAAAAAAGAGGAATAGGAGATCCACCCAAAAGAATACTCCCAACACTTTGGTTAGGGTTCCATTATTGAAGTGTACTACCATGAACAACCTGCTGCACCTATACAGGCAATTATTTACTCTGAAAAACTTTTTATCCAAATAAGATGAGAGGATGCATGGGTGTATCTTCTACCTTTCTCCTGTTTAACATCTTCCCTGAAGGCAGGTTGATACCCAGATTTGCAAAAGAAAAAGAAAAGCCTTCTCACTCATCACTACAAGTTATTTACCTTAAGATTCTTTCACTATTCATGAACAAAAAAATAATCTTTCTGCAGAAGAGAATCTGCATACATATCAGGCTAAACTAAACATCAGCTTGTACACCATAACAAACTCTAAGCACTGCCAATATATGTACCTAATAGGTAAGCATATGATTTTTTTCCCCCCCAAATGAAACTGTGCAAAATTACTAACACTAAATAATTTTTGAACCTAGCTTTTGCACAGGATTATTACAGGGTCATAAATACACACCTGTGCAATCATCTCAATGCACAAGTCGTGACATTTCCAAACTCTCCTATTAGGTGCATAATTTCTGTAATGAGCATGAACATTTCATATAAATCATAATACACTGTCAGTGTCTCAACAGCCAAATCTCATGTGGAAGGCTACCAAAGGATAACATTCTTACCACACTGTCACTTTATTTAAGTTATTCATATGCTTGAATTATAAATGCATTTATGAAAATTCACGAAATACTAAAATGAATAAGAAAGGATCAAAAACTGCTCTATATTTAGAGCTAACCTGAAGCTTTAAATCCACCAGAATCACACCACCATCATTAGTCTGAATCGCATCTTCCATCCTAACATGCTAAAAAAAGATCAGCTGGTAATAGGTGATGAATAACGGTTTCTTCCTAAAAACACATTCTAGGAATCTAGTGAACACTTACACACGTGCAGACATTCACTACCGAGGTCCATACAAGTGCAAGAGGAAAAAAAACACTGATCTGTGTTTCTTGGAAGACAGAACGAGTTCTCCCATCTTTGCAAAACACAGAAAAATGGGATAATAAGATCCTCCATAGCGTATGTGGAAGTAAAAGCAGAAATGTTTTGCAGTGTTATCATTTCTAGGCTACATAGAGACAAATTTGCAAGACATGAAAACAAATGTGCCGCATATAAATACACACAAACACTGCAGTCAGATTAAATGCCTTTTGCTCCTACCCACACCCACACATACATCCACACCGCCCCTCCCAAACGAAATCCATGAAAGCTTGGTCAATGGGTTTTACATAAAAAAAAATTTCAGGTCATCAGATAACTCAATAAAATACACTGTTAAAAGAAGTAAGAAAGCATGAATAAAAATATATACAACAATTTCTTGTGTAGTCAAAGTATCAGCATTTTCCATATAGAACATCCAATATTTTGCTGCATTTTAATTAAGGTGTCTAAACATTATCACAAAGAACTGCAAATTGGTCAGAGCACGCAGTAAGGAAAATTAAGCTCTAAAGGCTTTTTATCACCATATTTCAGGAACCAAGGGTGTAAAATGTTCTAATTTGGGATATATTAAAAGCCATAAAAGGTCTTTCAAAAAGATTAATGGTACTTTGCTTGGATTTAAGATAAGGGCTTTAGCTGGTTGGAAAAGCAGGGCCCTGGCTAGACCCTTGAGGCATTCATCTTTACAGCCACTTGGAAGATTTGTAAAAGCGTCTGCATAACCTCCAGCAAACGCACTGCGACATTTTTTTTATTTATTTTTTATTTTTTTAAATTCCTTTCAATTTTACAGGTTTAAAGTCTGGAAGCCGCATCGGATAGTCAAGTCGATACGGCGGGTCACCCCACAACAAAATATCTACGTATTTAAGACTCACTGAACAGAACAACTTGGCTTCTAGCAGGTCAGAGACCTCTCCATTTGGAAGTTTACCAATAACGATGGCAAGTATCTTCCTGTAGATGCTGAACGTAGCATAAGTGAAAAATTCCTTATCGTGAAAAACAATAGATGTTTCTACTCATCTGAAAGTGTTACCTTGCAACAAATTGCTGAAGCTTTACTTCTTCCAAAACAAACACCTTCAAAAATAGCAATTACCAAACTTTCACTTTTTATGGAATAACAGGTCTCTATGAAAAAATATTTATGCCATTCTCTTTTGTTCTTTAATTAAATGAAAACAGATGTTTTCTGAAGTAAAGCAGAACCATTACTGGAGTACTTAAAGTGTTAAGGTCTTTAATTTTTATATCAGTTTGGTCTACAATTCCTGATTGTCTTTACTCAAGCTCAACATTAATGTCAAGCAAGTTACCTAGGAGACGAAAGAGATCAAAGAGACAAAAAACCCTCAAATGTCTGATTAATCAAGCCTGCAAACAGCTTATTTCTTTTAGCCTGCATGCAAGTATGAAAATGAGATTCTGGGAGCCGTACATTGTGCAGATTTGTTCATTCTTATCAGAACAAAGCCAGCGGCAGCTTATTTCATGGATCATTGGCACTGTCATCAGTGCTACACAGAACGGGTGACAGCTCCTCATTTTGAGGCTTGAACAAAATTAGCAAAAAGTCGGCACAAATTAGCCTCTCATCTTTTTAGTAATATGACATTATTCATTTACTTTTTATCCAATTTTTAATTTTTTCCTTGTCAGCTATCCCTTTCTAGTGTTTCTTGCACAGCATCATAAAACACTTTTAAAACAAGCAAAGAAATGGATGAAGTTGAAATAGTTCAGGCAGAAGAGTAAACATTTGTATTAAGTTGCACCAGCATCTTCCAGAAAACTTCCCTGCAAAAAACCAGGACATTTAACACTTGGGTTCCATACAGGAAGCAGGTTTCATTAAATAAGACTGCACAATGTAAATGCTGAATGGCATAGGCACGAGACAACAGCTTCAAGAATTGCTCCAGAAATATTTAGGTATGATACACAAAGTGCTGAACCCGCAGAGGCTCTAACAAAACATCTATATTCAAACAGGTCCTGAAATATCCTATGATCATAGGAGTGAAACCAAACAGCCTTTTAATACAGTGTTACAGTTTCTCATCAAATATGAATCTAGTTATTTCAGGCTTGCCTTTAGCGATGATTTTCTCCTTTTATGTTATGGAATGTTATCCATTGCTGACGTATATAAAATATATAAAGCAAACAAGAATACCGAGTGGATTTTGCAGTGAAAATTGTCCCCTTTCAATGATGTGCTCAGCTTCCACTGTAAAATACTTTGTAATACCTTTGTTGTATTTTTATGCTGTGTATTACAACATCAAATTATATTTGGATGGCACAGTAATGGAGCAAGGACAGAAAACTGTCGTAACATTAAGCTCTTCTCTCGATTTAAACACTGAAATGCCAGTAACTTCTTCCATTCATGAGGAAATACAGCATTAAAAAATTAACTGTAAGCTGTTAGATGCTTTACACAGCCCCCTCATAAGAAAGGCAGTTTTAAAAAAAGAACTGTAGTACTGTTTTCAGCAATTTCTTTATCTCTGTTCTTCTAAGTAAGAAAGCTTATTAACAAGCTTTGAACTTAAAATCACATTTACAATAATGTGCCATCAACAGTTTTATAAGCTAATTAGAAAAAAAGATTAATTAATGACTGGCTGCTAATAAAATGGCAATCATGAAGAAAGAAACCAAGGGTGCTAAGCTTCAACTACCACCAATTAAGAGCTAATTACAAACAAATTATATATGTGTTTTGCTGTGGGCTTTAATTTACTAAAATGGTTTTAATTAAAAGAGAAAACATGCTGATTAATTGAACTGCAGAAAAAATCTACAGTATAAACTGTGCTTTGTCTGTCTCTTTAATTAGACTTGTAACATCTGAAATCTTTTTTTAAGGTTTGTTAAGGAAAAGATATACATAATTAAGGGAGCAGAAGAATGTAATTCTAGGTGATAACCCTGCCATGTT